GTGCCGGGTGGGGGCCCGTGGCTGGCGGGCTCGCCCAGGTGTAGGGGGGATGCCGCATGCGGGCGGCGTGCCGCGGCCGGCAGGGCCTCTTTGCGGTGGGGAGGGGCTGGGGACGTGGATGGGGTATGTTGAGCCGCGCCCTCTCGTGCTGGCCCCGCGCATGCGGTGCGGGCGCCAACCAATGGATGGGTGCGTATAGTATGTGCAGGCCACCGACCACTTAAGCCGCGGCTGCGTGCTGCTGGGCGCGCGTTGCGTGGTCGCTCCCTGGCTGCTCTGCTCCCGCGTCACCCCATCTCATGCGGACCGGGCCCCATGACCCGAAATCCTTGCATCCACCTCGCCCTGTGCCAGGGAGAAGAAGCGTGCCGCCGACTTCAAGGCATCCGCCGACGAGACGAAGAGGCGGCTCGAGGCGGCGCTGCGGGAGCAGCGCGCGCTCGTGCGCCGCCTGGGCGAGGCCGAGGCCGCCGGCGGGGGCGGCGCTGCGGCAGCGGCAGCGGCGAACGCGGCGGCCGCCGCGGCGCGGGACGCCGCGCGGCGGGGGGAGGCGGAGGAGGAGTTCTGGGGGGAGGAGGCGGGGCGGCGGTTTGCGGCGCAGCAGGAGGAGCTGGTGGCGCTCAGGGAGCGGGTGGCGGCTCAGGAGGAGGAGCTGGAGAGGGGTGAGCAGCCTGGGGGTCGGTCCAGGGGGTGGGTAGGGGCCGCAGGATGCCATTTGCATGCCCTGCGCAACCATGCGCTGCGCGATGGTTTCAAAGCCACCGCCCCTGGATGGGCTTGTGGTGCGTCAGGTAAGAGTGCGAGGGCGTGGCTTTCTCTAAGGCCAATCTGGTGGCAACACCCGAGCACTGGCACGCGTGGCCTTTGCTGGTTGTGCTGACGCCGTCATCCGCCCCAACGCCCCGCGCAGCCGCGAGCTCTGCCCCCACGGCCGCCACGAGCGCGGCCCGCTACGAGGCGAAGATTTCACAGCTCACGGCTGCCCTGAGCGCCTCAGAGGCGCGGCTGGCTTGCGGCACGCCCCACCCCGGCGGCAGCGGGGCGGACGGCTGGCCCGGGGGTGACGCGGGGGTCGAGGCGGCAGTTGCTGAGGTGGCGGCGCTGCGGGGGCGGGTGGCTGGGCTGGAGGGGGAGCTGGCGGCGGCGCGGAGGGGGGGCGGCGGGGATGGCCGCCGCAGCGCAGGTGCGGGGACGCTCCAGACTGAAGCGCTCGCCCAGCATTGGCCATGTGCTTGACGCACGTGATTGATACACAGCAGCAGTTTGCTCTTTGACAGACAGCGGCGCACAGGCCGCGTGGTTGGCCCCTTTTCGCCGGACTCTGGGCCCACGTGCGCCACCCGGTGCTCCTGCTTGCTCCCTCGCCCGTTTCTCAGACGCCGGTGTGGCGGAGGCGCTGCGGCGCGAGCTGACGCGGTACCAGGTGGGTTGCCGTCCACGCGCTTGTTTCTTGCCACAACGGCAGCCCCCCATTTGCAGCCGCCTCGTGGCTGGGGGCATTGTTCGCGCCCTAGCAACGAAGCCTCTGGATGGTTTAATATATACTCCGGCATGTACCCCTCTGCTTGCATCATACTGGGCCGACGGGCAGGCGCACCCCACACAACCGTGCAGCCGGCCAAACCCTGTTGCTCCCCGAGACACCACCAAACTCACGCACCAGCTTTTTGAAGAACCCAAAACATTGTCCCGCCTCGCGTGTCATCCCGGTTTGGCCGCCGCTGCAGGCGCGCGTGCGCGAGCTGGAGGCCGACTTTTTGTCTCTTGACGCCCTGGCCAGGGCTGGTCCCGGCGACTATGACGCCGAGATGCGGAAGGCCTGGCTCACTGCGGCGGCCTTCAAGAAGAGGCGCGCAGCT